TTTCTCGATTAGATCCACTCATTATCATTATCAGTTAGCGGTGCAATACCAATTGATCGCAAATGTCATCAAAGGGTCCAATAACAAGCAACTGAACAGGAGACAAAAACTTACGCTCAANATCATCATATAGTAAGTATATTATAAACCATCAATTACATCATACGTTCAACAAAACCGACTGCTCTAATCCAAAACAATAAAAGCAAATGAGCCAGTGAGCCTCACTACATTTCAAAAAAACTCCCGTACCGGCTTCAGATTTGTTCCCTGTCGTATCTGTGCCAATACATCATCATGTGTCCCTCCACCAGTACTGCCACTATGATCAGCATTATGCGTGTGTGCATTCACCGGTTTCAATGCTATACCAGCGTGTATCTCCTGAATTTCACAAAAATTTCCATTTGAAGCACTCAACCACCCTCCAATTTTATGACACATCTCAAATTCCAATGAAAAGCTTTGAACAAATACACGCATATGTTATATACACAAACTAATCACAGCTACTGCAAAATGCGACACACATTATAAACATCTTTTTTTCCGCACACATGATTTCATAGTTTCTCGATTAGATCCACTCATTATCATTATCAGTTAGCGGTGCAATACCAATTGATCGCAAATGTCATCAAAGGGTCCAATAACAAGCAACTGAACAGGAGACAAAAACTTACGCTCAATAAATTGGCTCGACCACCACTAGCTGGTGGCGGTAGGTTTGATGATGCTGACGCGAGTGCCATAGGAGGGGGAGGTGGAGGAGGGGGTGGAGGTGGGGGTGGTGGTGGGGCTGACGTCTGACCAGTCGATGGAACAGACGAGGGGACTGGTGGAGGCGGGGGTGGCGGAGGAGGAGGTATGGATGATTGGGGTTGCGGTTGGGGTTGTGACTGAGCAGTGGGCGGTGGCGGAGGGGGTGGCGGTGGAACATCGTTGGGACGATAGGATGCTGCTGCTGCAGATGTGGGTGGCTGAAATTATGGATCTTGATGGAAATCTGCAGCATTCGCTCATTTGAATTTCTTTCTTCAAATTTTGTCTGATTCGAATTTGCTCGAAATTTTACATTCAATAGTTAGCAGCGCTTGTTCGAATTTCTGCATTAGATTACACCCAAAAATGAACATTTCCATTTCTTTTTTACACTTGCTGATTAATCGGATAAAACAGTTAGTAAAAAATAAAATTTCTTCGAATTATTAACTGGACGTTTTTCGCATAATATGATGAACCTTGCTGAAAATTCTTCTGAAAAGTTTTTTTCTGGAAAAGTAATCTTCAAACTGAAGTCGAGATCGGATCGGAAAGAGGCCAGAAGCTGATAAGAATTAGTATCATCAATAACAACAGTGATCAAATTTACACTTTGCCATGAAAAACGACAACAGGGCAAAGACAAGACATACACCGACAAACCTACACATTGCCATAGGACAACAAAACGATTTGAAATCAACTTTCAGCATTTTAGCATTCAATTTACTCAAAACAAGTGTTGCGGGAAGCTAACCGTTGGGAGTGGTCTGGCTGGCGGTTGTTTTAGGACGGGTGGTGGTCTTTGCGGTGGACCAGATCTTGACGTCGGCGTTGAACTCAATGATGCTTCCCGACGTATAGGTGGCGGTGGAGGTGTCGGTGCGTTCGCATTTTGCATCGACGGCGATGGATGATAGGATCTGAAAATACTACGCGCTTAGACGAACGAATACGACGAATCGATATTCTCACTAATGACGAAACATTTCCGTTCAGGAATAACCATATTATTACATCCGTAAATTATTGCTCGCTTCTTTTCTCGTTTTCGTTTCGTTCACTTATAACAACAATAAAACGATGAGTAGTCGCACAGCTCATATGAAAATTACCACGGCATAATTCAAAATTATATGCCTTATACTACTTATTGATGGCATTCCCAGAAGGAACGACCACTCGCCTCGTATGACCCACCCAATACACAAGCTTAGCATCGTTGACCGATATGTGAGCAAATTCAACGCAAAAAAAAACACGCAATAAATAATAAACGATGAAAAAAAAAGCAAGCATAAAACGCATCATAAATAAGCAAGTACTCGAACACTCGTATTTCACCAGTAATTTTCTCGTCAAAAAGCAATAGCTAAACAAATTCATGCCATCAACGTATCCGAAATTACTCTATTCATTATTTCAACATGGCTCCCATTGCGCATTACATGCTGAATATTCTCTCTACGTCCTCTTCACCCTCCAACCCAACAAATGAAACTATAGACGTTACCTTGGTGTGTTATTGCTCGACTGATACTCCAATGTTGCGGACATCGGTGACGGAACCGATGGTAGTTGATGTTGGTGTGCGGCGGATTTGCGCTGAAAGTCGGTGATGAATTTATACGAAAAGTCGATATCCTCTTTGGTCATTCGATCCGGATTCTGCCCGGCGGCTCGCAACAACGTCAAAATACTTTCGTCCATTGGTTCAGCATCGTAGTCTTGCGAGAAGCCAGCATTCTGATCCCATCCCACGTGCACTTTATGTCTGTAAACGTTTCCACCTAACACTACCGATCGATTAGTCTATCGACTCGTAAAACGTTGCAAACATTTTTTGTAACCAAAAAAAAACAGAACGAAACAAAAGAAAATTTGAGCGAAGAACACATCAACATTTCAATAATTCACACAATTTTGTGTGTCATCCATTCAACAATATCCACAAAACTACGATTTTTAGAGGAATGCATCATTTGCGTTTGGTATGAAATTACTGAAAACATCGATTATCTGAGAAAATCGCCAGAGACAGAAACGTTGAATATGATTTGTCCCGAAAC